GCCCAACCCTACGCGGATTCGAACCGGTGACCTTGTGGTTGCAAACCAAACGTGCAGACCACTCGGCCACCGGCCGACCATTGCAATCCTGTGTTTGTCATGCCGTGCAATGCACGCTGCCTGATCGCAGTTTGCGAGTGTGTGCTGTCACGTATTGGCACACATAGTTAGGCCAGGAGGGGCCCACTGAAGACAGCTGCACACAGTTGAGCGGACACGCGCGTGGTCCAATAACGTGACAAAGCCGAGATCTAACGGTGGAGGCAGGTTGTGGTCACACGCACCTGTGCATGGCGAGAATTGAGAGCTCTGCTCCGTGCAGGTGAGAGCTGCTGGCACCGCGGACACAAGTTGTATGCATGCTGCCAACAGATAATGCGAGCAGCGAATGGGGTGGGTGTTCACGGTTGACTCTGTCCCGTGTTCTCAGGGTCGGTGTAACATCGTATTGACTCACGGAGTGACGTCACGAGTGTAGATCTCAATGCGCAAATCCTGTTTCTAAATGGGAGGATGAACCGGAGCAATTCTACTTCGTTACTTCCACTAAGTGTGATCCAAAAACGTATATTTCAGTTCTCCAACGAGGGCAGTCTCATTGTGCCTTCGGTACATGGTGACCATGTTCATGAGCTATTAAGCATGGCTGCGGAGTATAACCCTGCTGAGCAAAACAGCCAGCCATAGTTGTAATACACTCAGTGTTGCGAAATGGATCCAAGATAGGGTCATTATGTATGAAAGATAGAATAACGCAAGATAATAATGATAGAAAAATAAAAGATTTAATAAAATAACATAAACTGGGTCATTGGACGGATCATCAGAACTTTCAACGCAACATGACTATACGAGTTTAATATCATACGGATACCTTCAAGTAAATTTCAAAAGTGATATGGCCTGGAAGTTTGAAGGAGAATACTATAAGGCGCAATGCCAAACATTCCAAGCTACTAGCCCACAAGTGCTTGCCGAACGTAGCCCAGTGATTTCCATATCTTTGATGGATGGACTCTCAACCTAGCCGTATGCATTGATAATACAACAAATCCCCGACGCCTATGGTAACCAGTATCTGTGGCATATGCCGAGCAGTGTATATAATTTTGCCAAAGGTAGTTGAAACAGAGTGTGAAATGTCTTCGCACAATCGGTAGCTCGCAATGTACCACATAACGACCAGCTAACAAGATGTGGTCTATCGATGCAGAGAGAATCCGTTGTAATCGCAGTTTACAGTAGCTATTACTTTCTCCGAGTGAACGTTCGTAGAGCCGGAGGCAATTTCAGCTGAAAGTCACGGTGTACCTTACTCGGGGTGGTCCCACAGTGCTAGTAAAGAAACACATCAGTGCAGGTTAAAAAGAAATATATCATGGTTGTTGGACGGGTTACAGAGCGAGTAGGTGCAAAGCGCGTGTGTAGTTATTTTGTACATGCTGCACCACTTGTTGACAGTGGTGCAGCGTCACGCAGGCACGTGCTTTTGCTACAACCTGCTCCCGAAACTGCGTCTTCCATTCAGTCTTGTTCAGTAGGCCATCAGGATCCCCTCGGAGAATATGGTGGTAGTCTTCTTGTGCTGTAAGGCTTCTCTTGGAAGATACACATCACAGCGGAGTAATATGGTGTGTTAGCACCAATAAAGAGACAACTTGCGGCGAAATGGATGCCAGTAGTATCAAGCAGTTGCCACAACCATCGCGCACATCTTCCTTTATTAAAACTGCCTCTTAGGACAGAATATCCGAGCTATCAATCCTCAATCATCGCGCTGATAAGGTGCAGATTTTGTCCCCTATTGTTCGGCAGCGTACAGTGCGCAAGGGTGCCACGTCCTGAAGGTCCTCTTGCGCGAGCGCAGAACAGATTAAAGTTCGTCGCATCCACCCATACTGCTCGCCGTCCTTAATCCTCCAAGTTCATCAACTTCAACATGTACACTTCCTTAGCCTCTTGCTCAACATCGTATCCATGGGTTGCGGTATTGCGTGTAATTTCTTCGTCGTCACGACCGACCGTTTAAGTAGCGAGTGATTGAGCTGATACTCACGTCCACGTCGAACTCCACCTTCAGCCGTAACCGAAGAGTTTCCAAGGTAACCGTAGGATCCGATTCCACCCATACAAGCAGGAAATCCACGTGACTATCCGATAGACACGTTCGAAGCGACACGCTAAGATCCCTTGTTGGCTTATTCAATCCTAATGTCTTTATTCAGCTTCTACATGTCTTCACGTTTACCTGTAACAGAGATGCAACGCCGTTCCAGTTGTTGCCCACTTCATAGGTCTTCAAGATAAGAGCCTTTACATCCGACGGAGGACGGGCGTACGTTCCTCATCGTCCCACATAAATCAAATTAAAGACAAACCTGGTAAGTGAATTATGAGGAAGTTTTTTCCCCTTAACTGCTGCGTGCAGTTGCAGTGCAACCCAGCTGAAGGAAAGCAGAAGAGACAACTCGGCTGATCAGAGACGGTATATCAGAACCACATGGATGTTTCCACTAATAAGTCAGGCGCGTGAAGTAACCTACCGCCCCCCTAAGCCAAACGCATACAAATAACTGCTAGAGTACCAGTGAAAGCGGTGAGATACGTAGCGAATGGAGCATACTTACGAACACGGCACAGGTTGCAAGGCGGAATGTCCCCGAGCGCAGTGTACAGATGTATGCTGTACGGCCTTGAGCACCGAGGCGGAAGAGGTCTGCAGGCACAGATGTAAGATATGTTACATGTTACAGTGCCGTATGTGTTGGAGCAAGGCGCACAAGTGCGCTGTCTGGCCAGATGGACTGCACGTAGAGAATGTTACAACCGTCCAAAGTGTCAGGAAGCACAGGAGGACGGAAGGACAAAAGAACGCAAATGGTATTCGATCAGGATACAAATTTACAGAATAACCGCAGAATGGATGGTATGGCAGTCGGATTGGAAAGCCCAGATAGGTAAGGGTGCGAAATACGTAATGTGGACCGACTGTCGTGCAGTGAAAGCGAAACAGGTACACTGAGCAGACGCAGTCCAGAGGCGAAGGAGGGGGCCGTTCAGTGTATACGGGTACGATCAAGAGCTTGGGCCGTGGTTATGCTCAGTTAAGAAGAAGGACAAATAGATCGGCGAAGTAGTGAGCAATCTCTACCAAACCACTTTAAAAATCAAGCACTGAATCATGATAAGTAAAGATTTACACAAACTGATTGGATAAGATAATAACGAACAGCAGCCGGTGAAAGGAATGGAATAGTGCTGGTGACCAAGTAACCATGGGCGTAACGGGTGTCCGAAGTATGGCGAAGCGGACTCCGACGCCCCCCCCACCATGAAAGATGACAAGTGTTAATCTTTCTTAACCTTTCCATACTATTCTTCATGGCCTTTACTCGTGTTTTCGTCTGACAATGTCGCAGTAGTCATCACAGAGTCGAAACCGCACCACCAGTTAGCAGCCATGAGAAAAACATGACCCAGCAGCTTAGACGGTCCGAGGTCAGTAACAATTCCATAGTGAGCACCTGCAGTGAATATCTCCAAAACGAAACCATGAAGCTCGGCATTTCCAGTTCGAGGCTCCAACGGGTATGATAGAAAATCGGAAATACAGTGCGTAACTGTGAACAGACTCATTACATCACCAATATATAATGACCATGTCCCTGGTCCACACTGCAACACTGAATGCACTAGTTTCCACCCGCTCCTTTTCCTTTGCCCTGCAATCTAACGTGCTGATTGCTGAACAGATCAGAGACAAGGTCACCATGTACCGAAGGCACAATGAGACTGCCCTCATTGGAGAACTGAAATATACGTTTTTGGATCACACTTAGTGGAAGTAACGAAGTAGAATTGCTCCGGTTCATCCTCACATTTAGCAACAGGATTTGCGCATTGAGATCTACACTCGTGACGTCACTCCGTGAGTCAATACGATGTTACACCGATCCTGAGAACACGGGACAGAGTCAACCGTGAACACCCACCCCATTCGCTGCTCGCATTATCTGTTGGCAGCATGCATACCACTTGTGTCCGCGGTGCCAGCAGCTCTCACCTGCACGGAGCAGAGCTCTCAGTTCTCGCCATGCACAAGTACGTGTGACCACAACCTGCCTCCACCGTTAGATCTCGGCTTTGTCACGTTATTGGACCAAACGCGTGTCCGCTCAACTGTGTGCAGCTGTCTTCAGTGGGCCCCTCCTGGCCTAACTATGTGTGCCAATACGTGACAACACACACTCGCAAACTGCGATCAGGCAGCGTGCATTGCACGGCATGACAAACACAGGATTGCAATGGTCTGAGCGCCTGGTCGGCACCCCAATACTACGTGCGCGCACAGGTGATGTATGCGCATCGCGACGCTATTGGCTGGTTACGGCTGACCACTCATTGCAACCTGTATTAAATTTAAATGGTACCGCATTAAATTTTCTGCATTATGGACGAAGGCTGATGGGTAAGAGATTAAAGAGATTCCATTAGGGCGGAAATATAGTGAAGTGGTATAGAGTAGGTCATTTTAACGATTCGGAAGTCAAGAGATTGAGTTGTTTCGAAAAATTATACTGTGCATGATGAGACAGAAAGCTGCGCGATCTGAGGTGATATGAAAGGAAAACGCGACTAGGAGTAAAAAGCGGCCTGTTGAAGCGAGGAAATCAAGTTTGGAGGCAACCTAGAGTGTAAACGGATGAAGATTCTTATACAAGAGTGTAATATACATGAAACTACATGACTTAAAGAATGGAGAGGATGTGGTTGTTAGCCAGACTGGAATGATGACGTAAGAGTCGGCCGAGACTAGTTCACGAAGGCTAGAAAAACAGACACGGTTCATGGCTGTTGTTAAATGGTGACCTGATGCGATTACTGATGCAGAAGAGCAGACCGTGCCCACCATGCAAATTAGTTCAACTAACTCTCAGCGCAAGTAAACACTTGGGTACGGTGTATCGAACCCACAGACCCGAAGTAAGTGAAAAAGTAAGGACCAGAAGAAGAATATAGGCAAGGGAAGTGACTTGGCTATATGTACAACAAGTAGGATAGACATTTTGGTGGATAGTTTCGATGTCATCTCCAGGGGACAAACTGCCGGACAACACCATCCGCACCACCTGAATACACATATGGCTGTAGTGGGTGGAAAGCAACCGAGAGCACAGAGGCAGCGCTGACTGTTTGACCGGTTCGTATCAGCTGAACAGGAATGATGATGGGCTTGGTGAGCAAATCACTAAAGTGCAGATGGGAAGAAAAAGAAAAGGTTGAAATCGGATTCATAAAACGACTAAATTAGTACGGAAAGCATAAAACAGTGCCGACAAACTGCAAAGTACGAGACAACGAAGAATGCATAACAGAAGTCAAAAAGATGGCGGTGACAAAGCCTGTTACATCTAACATAATCGCAAGAAGCCAGCAAAGTGTCTGAGTAAAATGAACGTCTAGAGCAGGTTATAAAGTAGGCCGACGAGAACAGAGGACACATCAAGCGGTACAGAGCTGATAAAACGGATAATAATGATAAGCACAGCGTAAAAATATTAGACCGACGAAATTTAAAAGTGTCAGGAATACATTATCCGAAAACGAAATACGTACTCAGAGACAGTTGCGTGTAGAATTAGAACCGTCGCGTCGCTCAGTGCTGCCGCAATCAGCGGTCGAACTCGGTGACAATCCAACTGTCGAACAGCACCATGGTTCAGCCTAAATTGAGAAGTAAGGTATTAAAAGATGTGTTTTTTAGGTCGTACACAGTGAACGAGGTGTGGAGTGGTATGTGATCAAATGTTGCGCATCGGACCTCCGAGAAAATAAGCGAGTAAGTTGACAAAAGCGATTAATAATAGATAATAACACGTTACTGCGATAAGAGAAGCATGATGTAGAGCATATAAGACGTAAATGCGTTTGCTGTCTAGTTCAAACGGACGCTTTCGTCGACATTGCTTAATTCGGAAAACGACAGCGAATGGACCCCTGGGGACCAGTGATTGCATCTATTCGCCCAATCGATAGGAACATGAAAGAAAGCTGAATAAATAGGGTTGCATACAGGTGTGATACCGACAATTTCCGCTCAAAATTAGAGCAGTCATGTTGACCAAAGTGGCAACACATTATCAAGCATCCACATGTAGAAGATGGTGCATATGTAGAGCTGAAAAGCTAACATCGAACAGCAAATGATCGAAAAATGAGTGAGATGACTCGATTCCAAAGGAGAACACGGACGCAAAATAAAACACTAGCGGAATCGCGTTGAGTAACGAGTCAGTGAACGAGCTAGACGAAATACTCGAAGATCAGACAGCCACTGGTAAGTTCAACGGACATAAGTCGATTGGCAATTCAAAGGGAAAAGAGGTCCGTAGCATGGTACAGCTGTACATTCTGCATTAAACTGCTTGGCGAATTTCTCCGTCGTCTTCGTAGACGAGTGATACCCTGAAAAGCGATACGAGTTTTGTAGACGTGCAAAGTAATTTATTCCACGACTGAAACACAAAGGGTTCCCGAACTGGTGAAGCGAGCAACCAACTCCAATAGTAAATAGACGAGAACCGGTGGTCGATCAACACAGATGACCTTGAAAGCAAAAGGTGCGAAGCACATCATCATCACCATCATCAATACACGTTAGCCGAAGGTGAGAAACATACTTAGGCTAATGTGCCGCAATACAAAAAGTAACACGTTAAGCAATGTAGACCTAAAGGCTATCAAAAAAATTACATATTGATAATTGCTGGAGAGGGAAGCTAAAGTGAAAAGGAGGGACAAAGAAAGTTTTAACACAAACGCCACTGAGGTCGACCAAATTTATTCATCATACTTCAGTCCCTAGCCAGGAAGTCGGGAAACATCAACCGACGCCAAGTTATAAAACACACAATGAAGCACATAGAATTACGTGCAAAATAGCTGGCTCTGATGTATAGAGAGGCGTGACAAATGTGCCGGTGGAGCATCTAGAATATATTTTATTCAAAGAGAGACTGAGAAGTGGGACGATTAGTGATTATTTCGGCCACATGGGCTGAGAGGTCATTTCAATCGAGATCAAGGAGATCTGCAAAGCAATGGAGACAATCCTGGACGGTCGTCTTAACGTGCGCTGGGGGCTCAAAACTGCTGAAATGTAAATATGTGGGCAAAGCACCTTTCAGCTTTTAAGGTGTTCATCGCATTAGTACTTATGTGAATAGCATAGACGCAATGAGCAAAACTGGTGCGTTCGTATTTCACGTAACGCCTTTTGACATTTTGTAAAATAAAAACAACTGATGATAACCGTCAGTGTCGAGCCAGTAAATCTCGGCGAACAAAGAATTTCTAGGAGCCGGCAGAGCAGTTTCGGTACAACATCACCAGTTCCCTCCTGAGTCGATCGATGATGTGGGGGTGTCGTCAATAGCGCAATTCGGTTCAACAGCCATGAAGTGTTGGGGAAGTTCCAGTGTTGATTTCTCACGTAATTTGGAAAATGTGTGCAGATGCAGGAACGATGATTTTCCGTGGTTTGGTAGTAACTTGTCCGGGTGTGGTATCGAGAACTTCATTCGGAGTGCTAAAGTCGCGACATGAGTGCCACAGACTCAGGTACGGACTATAATTAGAACAGACACCTCACCAAGTGTAGTCAAAGTAACACTTGGAAGGAAACTGAACCTGTAAAAGGCATTAGCAAATCGGTCTGTTTACGTTACCTGTGACGATTCCTGGAAGCAAAATAGCGCAGGGAAAAATAGAGACTAAGTGGAAAGGAACAGCGTACCGCCCAGTAAAGTCGAACGCGAATACCAGCCAACCATTTGCACTGGATAACGGAACATACAATGCGCTATTATAGTTGCCATAATATAATGTCCAAACACACAATAACGTATGTACTTGTACGCCGTCATTGCTTTCGTCATGAATTGGTCTCGCAGGCGGTTGGTCCGAAGTGATAATAACAAATTCAGCGTGTTGAGTCAGGATAGGTGTGTGAGGTGATAGTTTGCAAGCCCACGTCGTCCAGTGAACGAAACTGGGGAGCACAATCCAAGTGCGTCCGCCGAGCCATCCATACCAGACAGAGTAACGGTTGCGTGCCAGACTAAAAAAGTTTCAGTATTCTGCTTGGAGGTGTGATAGAGGTCGCTGATCATCTTACTTTAAAGAGATTAGGAGCTTAGATCAACTGACGTAGGACGCGAGTGCCGAGGGTGGTATATGACTGTAACAGAGCGAAGCCGTGCTCAATGGCTTGTTATTGCCCGTCTCCAGCCAGGTAGAACCTGGTAGATAATGTGTGAACCTACCAAATCCCACTTGAGGTAAGTCGTGGTCATTGGCGCGTAATGTATGACGATACAAAAGCGTATTTGAATCGTATTGAAAGTGTCAAATGAACGCGTAACAAACGGTAAGTAGGCTCCAATGGGGGGTATGCAGTCGCGCTTCGGAGCTGAACGTGTTCTTCACTACCTTAGCATTTGTTCACACTGGAATGCATTACCAGCACATGTGGTGAATGCACTTGAACATCGTGACCATAGAAAGACTACAAGACTTCATGTAAATGATAAACGCTGCGCAACAGTATGATAAAGTAGCATATATGGGCTATTGGTGGTTCAATTTTACGCCGGGACATTTCGATATTCTTTTACCACTGCTATTCTGTGGATCTACTAAAGCTACTGCTTTGTATCGCATAGTACACTGCTGAGTCGGTGACTATAATTAGAATTCCCCAAACAAACCTTATTTTACCCGCTAGAGATTAAAAGTGTGACGTCTCGAACAAAACATGGCTATCGGAATAAGCAGGCGGAAGGTGTCATCTACCTAATGGGCAACAACACCGGGCAAGTTTCCGTCCTTCCGTTTCCCCTGATATTCAAAAATTATCGTGTCAACCATCAGCAGATCATTATTGACTTCACAGGTCGGATTAACAAAGAAGCCGATTGATCTTTCAAATATAAAATAGCGTTCCATAATAACTCTCTTAACGACCGCTCATTCTTTCAGATCGGATAACAATGGTTATGATTTCACAGTCTCTCGGAGATGGTATGCGTCGTGTCTCGCAAACACTCATAGAGGACAGTAGTGTCCTCGGGGAAACTGCGGGTTTCGATGATTAGACTTGCTTACCTCGTGCCTCCGGTGAGGCGTGACAGTCACGACATCAGAGCTTCTATCAGTAGACGTGTGAAACCTGCTCTGAAATAATGGAACACATTGGACAACCAGTTGCGTATGGTCTGCTAGAGAAACTTCATCGGAGTCAATGGGCGTCTGTCTGTTGACTCAGCATACGATCCCACTGACCGCCCTTCGGAAGCTGTTAAAGGTGAATGCTGCCAGAAAATTGCCGAATGTGATTGATAATAAGTAGATACCATGGCTACTGCTGGTCACATGAATGCCCAAGTAGCTAGCTTATCAAAAGTAGAATATTGCCTCGGAGGTAGTTTAGGAGTCTATGCTTGCTATCCTGACAACGAGGATCAATTTTTTCAGCTATCTGCTGAGAAAAGTGCTGATATCAGCACCACCATTTTCGAGTACACACCCCTAGTTGCACAGAGGCTGTGGAATGACAGGCGACCACAGGCTCAAAATTAGCAAAATATAATAGATATGGAGCACTTGTCTTAGCCCTAACCATACTTTCTCGTGAGCGTCCACATAACGCACTCTTGTTGCTTCCGGAAATGATGCTCATCCAATGTAGTCGTATCTACAAAACATCAACATCGACGTGAAGTGCGCGACAAGTGAGGCCGATGAACCAAATGTGGAAATCGAACCATCGCCAGTGCGCGATGTGAAAATAAATTGGAACCGCTAGCTCGTTGATTAGCATGACTGAAACACTAGATGGCTCACAGAACTCACAGAATTAAACAGGAGAGTCAGCAGATAACGAAGGCCCATGCGATGGAGAACTTCAACGCCAGTGGCAATACAAGAGTGCTGTTCCGGCTTACACAACTCACCGGTCCAAGGAAGCTTTTCGTGAGTGAGTGTCTAAAAAACTGGACAACTAATTCATTCCTAGTCACATCAACCTGAACGCTAAGCAGAGCACTCTTACTAGATTTAGCTAGTTCGATGCATCTGAAGTGTCAGCCGATGAACGAAGGGATTGCGCGGCTCCCTTGAAATCTGGAGCTCATGAGTTCGAATCCGCGTAGGTGCTGGCAATCTAGCGTTATACCCAGCACACGAGCGACCGGTGGTGGTCGCATGGCAGCGAAACGTCAGTACAGTGTGGAGGCATACTGCAGATGTCCTCTTTTCCTTAGATGTCCGAACTTCTAGTTAGGTAGCCTAAAGCCACCGGGATGTTGACCAAACAGGTTAGACGATATGCGGAATTAACTGGCGATGCCCGGCCTGTACGAGCTTCTACATCCGTTGCTGAAAGACGGTGACGACTGCTTTGGCTTCCTTAAGTGACAATAGTTAGCACTAGAAGGAACTGCTCTTCGACGGACTGGTGATTGTTGATCATAGTCCTCATCTTCAAGAAGGGCTAGGCTAGGGGGCATCTTGTGCAAATTTTGGTGGTAGTAGTATGACCTCCACTGTCTCTGAACTTCTCAAGTACATCGTACTGTGGCGACTCACTGGTCTGCGTGGAGGAGGAGTCAGTCAGTTAGGCTAGCATTCGCCACATCTGTACTCTACCACAAGCGCAGGCGTTA